ACTGCTCAATATGCCTACATATAAATAATGCAATTACTGAATATGTCAAAATTTGTCTAGTATCTATTCACTTAAAGTATAATTAATAAATATATGAAGATCTGTGATTTTAGAAAAATATTGATGGATGTATATGGACAGGTACACTATACTGCCATTGTTATTCCCGTAAGTCCAAAAAAATCGTCTAACAGGTGGAAAAAAATATTCAGTATATTGATTTGATTGCTGATTCACATACAGATGGATCAACAAAGTGACCCTGTCCTTATTCACTGTCGTTTCAGTGAGCTTGTCAACATTTTAAGCTCCAAGGTTTTCAGTAGAGGCCCAAAGAGGCATCTAATTACATCCGCGTATATTTTTGTACTATCATAAAACATTCTGTCAATTAGTTGAAGAATGTTGGATGTAAAGTACACAATACATAAGAAAAATAAAGTGTAAACATATTGTCACATACAACAAAGTAGGGTCATAAAGCTGTGTACTAATAAGAATATAACATACGTGTATATTCAAATAAACAAGTAACATTTTGTAATACTTTGATCTCACTGGATATTAAGTTTACAATACACAAGCAAAATAAATTAAACATATCAACATAAGCAACAAAGGTCGATCGCTAATCTCTGTTTTAAAAATATGCAATCGTGAATGAACATATTCCCTTCTTATCCGACACTTCCATACAACTTTGAACTTTTGCAGCTACTCTAAAATACGAGGGTTGTCCCAGAAAAACGCGAACTTTTTGAATATTTCAAATACTATTCTACCAAAACTAATAATTTTTGGCATGGTGTTGGGAAATCATCTTTTAGATATTATAACAAAATATTATAGGCATGTGATGCCATATGCATATATAAACAACATTTAAATGATGCTAAATATCGGTGGTCGGCGCACGACAATTTTTTGACATTTACAAATAACATTGTGATTGAAGTTTTCGTTGTCATCAGGCTATATGGCAATATAATATCAAAAGTTTTACTATAATAAATTCTCTATGATTTGGTGTACTTGTTGTTAAAATTTCATTCATTTGACATCATTAATGACGGATATATGACGATATATAGCAAAGCGCTTTAAATTAGACATTGTCAAAAATGGTGACGTTAAGCTGTGATGCGGAGCACCAAATTATCAAGCAACACTATGTTGAGCGGGATACAGTACCCGCATCGTTATTCTTTACAAATCTATCGTGTCCTATCGTGCGTGTATCCTATCGTATCGTGCGTGTATCCTATCGTATCGTGCGTGTATCCTATCGTATCGTGTTTTCCGTTTATCGTGTTTTGCGTTTTCTATCGTGTTTTCCGTTTATCGTGTTTTGCGTTTATCGTGTAGATCGTTTATCAGGTTCTATAGTGTATCGTGTTTTGCGTTTATCGTGTACATTCGGAAACCCTCGCTTTTTATCTTTACTACAGGAAGAAACTACCGAGGTATTCCGAGTTTCTTTTTCGTTTTGTTAACTTAAATAAGATTGTTTTAACCAAGAAAGAGAAATGATTAGTTAATTCCTTAGTTTTTCATCATTAAAAAAAATATTAAAGCGTGGAAGGAAAAGAATAAATATATAAATAATATAATTAATAAATTAAACAATTAATAATATATTAAATTAAGAAAATAATCATATCATAGACAAGCAGAGAATCAAAATTAATTTTTGAAAATGAAATAATCGACTCTCTGTTGTTTTTTTTAATTCATGGAAATGAGTCACTAGAGGATGATTTTCGGTAAGTCACGGAAAATTTTAATAATAATTAGCAGAGGATTTATATGTATCTTTTAAAATATAATATTCATTTTTTTTTTCTCCCGATCAATCGTCTGGTAATATTAGCAATGTGTTTTCGCCTCTGATCAGCATGTACATGTATGCACAATTATTTAAAATCTTGATTTAAAAACAAATAATAATAACGAAGCTTTAAGCATTTAATTAAGACATTGATCCAGATAACTTTAACACAGATTTTCTCCGTATAGTTACAATTTTTTGAATTTATTTTTATCACTATCTAATTAGTTAAATTTCTTAATATGTCTAAATTTAAAAAAGAATTATACCAAAATTATAAAATGTAATGCATGAAAATGCTCTACCCGATTTATCTCACCATGCATGGCAGTTACTATAAAATAGAAGTTTTACATTTATTTTATCTGGCATTAGAAGATCTAAAAATAATAAACAGGAAAATCATGATGGCTTTGAACAGCTTAAACTAAAATATAATGCACCTGCGTGTCAAATCGAAGAGCTTTCCTTGCCATAAAAACTGACAGGTATGTGTACCTCTCTAATCAGCGCACTGCCTTCCTGTGTGGTCAACACCCCTTCCCCTTCTCCCCTAGCCCCCTAAATGATAGCTTTGCCCGTGTGTATTTACCATCAACATACCTGAACTGCTCTCTCACCTTGTGTCAAACAGTATCTATTTTCGGGATTGTGTTCACACCTTGCGTGAACTAAATGTACACTCATAAAAGTATTTTTTTCCTTCTAAATCAATTAAATAATTGTACAAATTATAGATTTGAAAAATCATTTCCTAGCTTGAATTTAAATAAAAAAAATCACATAACTCAATCCGCTGATTTATTTTATCTGTACGATGTTTCCATAACTTCATGTAAATAAGTATTTTAATGAAATTAAAAAAAAAAGATACTGCACTTATAGTACATGAACTTTCTGATTATCGGTTTTTCTTTTGGATCACCGGGTTTTCATCGGGTTACAGACAGAATTAATTCTAGGAAGCAATTTCTTTGATTGTAGAAAAGATTGAAATAATTCTAACATTTTAAACTATGAAAATTTGCTCGCATTATTTTTTCTACGGTATTTTACTATAATAAAAAAAAAGAAGTCTGATTCCGCCGTGACCATGCAAGACGAGTAAATGTATTGCACCCAATCAGTTTATAGTATTAATCGATTTCATTCCATATATATATATATCTTTATTTAAGAAGTCAATATCATTTTTGGCTACATGTATTTGGCTAGATGATGTTAATCTAATTTTAAATTGGTAACGGACTTTCAACATTCCGCCCTTTGAATACGCCGTATATGAGATTACCGGATAAGTCTAAAATAATTTTCAGGGTTTAATAATTCATTTGCATTAGAAACAGTACACACAAAGTTTAGTAGCAATGATTTATAATTATTTATTATTTCTAAATTATTGTGTTTTCTATTGTAAAGTCATTAAATAAAAGTCATGTTCGTTAATTAATACTATGTTTTAAGTATCTGATATATAAACGTTTACGTGTACATAAGTTAGAGCTTAGCGTAAACGTACAGGTACATGTGTAGTTGTACAGATTCATATTCTGTTGACACAATTTACTGTATTAATGCAGAGCGCCATTGTATTAACAATTATTTAGATTTCTACTCAGGAAATTACTTTTCTTGAACTATATAGTTCTTTAAAGCTGATTTCTTTGGACCAGTCTTTCGGCCGGTCTTCTACATGTATTTTTTCCCTAAGATTTTAATATTTAATTGCGATTTTTGGATACACCGCAGATTGTAAGCTTTAGACATTAAATACAAATATTTAATTTATTGCGTAAATAATTTAGCATTTGTAGATAAATTTATTAGGTACAAATGCATATTTTTTTCATAAATAATAAATCTATTTATAGGGTTTCATAAATTTATAATAGTACCCGTGATAAACAGCAGCACATAATTATGAAAGGGATTTTTGTGCAACAATTACATGTATGTTAAAATATCCGTAATTAAAGGAGTCATAGTTCAACCTTAAGATGAGAATTTCAACATTCACACAAATAATCGTAAATCCACACCCTTAAGTGGAAATAAAAAAAAAAAATTACAGTCTCCATTTCATAATAATCCATTTAATCATTGTCAAAAAATATGTATAAAGACACAACTTTTGTAAAATTACCAGTGATCTCAATTTTTTTTTATTATAATAATTAAATGTACTTCAAAATTTAGATTTGAAGCTTTGCAAGTACTTAAATTGAAATATTGTAGCAACTAAACAAAATGATCTTTTCGTCTTGTCAGAAAACGTTCCGCATTTTGAAACAATCCTTTCAGGTTTTGCGTTTATCCTATCGTGAAGATCGTTTATCAGGTCTATCGTGTTTTGCGTTTATCGTGTTTTGCGTGTATCGTGTTTTGCGTTTATCGTGTTTTGCGTTTATCCTATCGTGCGTGTATCCTGTCCTATCGTGCGTGTATCCTATCGTATCGTGCGTGTATCCTATCGTATCGTGCGTGTATCCTATCGTATCGTGTATCCTGTAAAGAATAACGATGCGGGTACTGTATGCCTCCTGCATATAGAAAAAAAAAGTTAACGATGAAAGAACTCGAACACAATATTGGGAAGAGGTTTATATCTAGTAGAAGAGGTTCTTGTTTGACTTGACTAATTTTTTGATAGAAGAGAATAGACTTTTGCACATAAATAAAAACTAACTGAAAAGACAAGAGTGGGACGTCATAGACCTACGTGAAGACCGCTGTCAAATAATTCGGTCAGGTAGCTTTATGATCGGGATTGTGAAATTGTCTATTGAAAGAATTACACCCCCACAACCCCAAACTTTTAGTAACATTAGTATTTGAGATGCATAATTTGGTAATTAAAAAATAATTAAACACATTGCCGAATGTGTGAAAAAATTTATATTAATAATGACGAACTTTTCGTAACAAATTCCTAAACTTTACGAGATACGTTTTGACGTCGTCAGTGTTGCGCCGACAGCTAATTTGATAGATTCCTTTGCATGAGAGGAAAATTTTATTTACAGAGATATTTCTTTGAAATTTTTAGACATTATTCCAAAAATGTTGATCATGATGTACTGTAGATCACTAAATTTTCGCGACACCTTCTTTTCGCGAGTCAATCATTGGATCTGTATAAGCGAGACATAATTTTCACGAATTGTTGTTATTCCTCTATATAATCGTAAGGAATAATTATATACGCGAGAATTAAATTTTCGCGAGCTCAATGTCTCGCGTAATTACGCGAAAATAAAGTTCTCGCGAATAAAAAGTGATTTACAGTATGCCAATTTTTAACTTTATAGTCCTAGTAAAACAAAAGATATTAAAAATATTCGCGTTTTTCTGGGACAACCCTCGTAGGTACAAGTAGTATAGGATACACATTCACTTAAAATGAACTCTCAAGCACTTTCTATTCTTATAAGATGAAGTTAAACATGCAATTCTTTAATATTCTACACAATAATCAACCAGTTCCTAATCTGTAGCTCCTTCCTTACGATTGATTATTGTTTCTATTTCTAGGACATTATATTTGATTTTCTCTAAAGCTTCTTGAATTTTAACAATTCTACAATATAATACTTTCATGTAAATTAGTTGATTCTGATTTAATGCTATACATTTGTTAAAGCACCATTATCAGATTAATGATAGAGCCATTATCTCCAACGTAGCAATGGTAACATTGCTTGAATACAGGTGATATTCCATTAAATAGCGACTGAAGAGAATTCATATGCACAAGGCCCACTCTCATTGAATCTTGTCTGAGAGTTGGACGCCGAACTCATGTTTCGCTAAAAATTGTTAAATAAATCTGTTCTTTATTTCGGTAAGCCTTATAATTAAGCTTATCCAATAAGGATATGGAGATAACGAACAGTATCCAATCTCAAAGTCCATTAAACAATATACAAAATAAGAGCAGAGCAAACACGGACCTCCAAAACATCAGAGGTGGGATCAGGTGCCATGGAGGAGTGAGCATCCTCTGCCGACCGGTCACACCCGCCGTGTGCTCCTTGTAATGATCGTGAAATAGCGGAAAAATTCCGTCATCAACTCAGTGTGTAAATAATGGACTCATAATAAGTATGAAAAACGTCAGTCAGCATTTGACTCAATGATAAATTGTATTTGCTGACAAGGTCATTGTAGCGACCATAAAATTTACGAAATGATGGCTTTAAATGAGACAATTGATATTCTTGTTTCATCAACTAAAGGTTTTTCACAAATGAAACTTTCAGGTGGATTGCAGATTTCCGACATCTTCAACCGAGTGTTCCAGAATTCATTGTTTACTAGTCCTACAAACGTTCTATTAATGAAGATTATAATTTCTGAACGGCCGCTTCCAGTCTTCAATTTCGTTTTAATGTCAACATCTGAGACTTTAATTCTTGAACATCTGACACAACTGTCTTCATCAGTTCGTGTTGATCCTTGACAAACTTCTCTATGATAGTTTTTATTGCATCTTCCCCTTCCTCTTTCAGAGCGAGTTTCTGAATACCTTTAAGACTATCCACATACTTTTTACCAGTGAACGTTTCCAGTCTTTGGCAGACATCTGACATTGTTGACCAGGTATCGTCGAATTCTGTCTGAGGGATTGAGGCTGAGCTTACGTGTGCAGTTAGTCTATTTCGTATTGACCTAATTCTTTCGATATCATCACCCACTCTCACCTCTGCTGCTGCAGGCTCTTCTCCCCATTTTCCTTTTGTTGGTTTAGGAATCTTTGAACAAATGTTTCTTATCAATTTGTATGTTAATGAAATATCAAATTCCTCATATCCTGATATTTTTGCTTTTTTCAATTGTTCTTCTTGATTTGCGTTTAGATTCAGGCTCTTCAACTTTTTGTTTGATAATAAATCCACTTTGTTCTCAATATCAGATGCAGGAATTTCTGATTCTAGAATATCTCTGTATGCCTTATTCAACACATCATTTGTAGCCATACCAAGTTTTGCAAATCTAGACCGGCCTTCTAGGTTTTATCCAGAGGCCACAGGAGTACTGGAATCACTCGACTCTCTCTGAAACAAAATAAACCATAGCTGTTATAATGAACCAATCTTAACCTCGAAACTAAGTGCTGGAAATAGCCAACTTTGTCTGAAGCAAAACCAATCTTAGTTCATCTAATGGAGCCAACTTAGGAAAAAACATTATAAACCAAGATTAAAATTTATAAGATGATTCCCCATATATTAAGCAAAGCTGAACCCTAATGCAAGTACAGTTTGTTTTCCAAGGTGATTATAACAAAGGGCCCTGTTGTAGGTCAAGAAAGGAAAATTAGGATAAAAACAATTTTAATTTACCATTAGATATCATTGAGTTGGTGACATCACATCAATTTGGAAAATTAGGAATAAAGTGAAATGAAAGATTTATCTAGAGAGAAACATAATGTACTCATCAGAGCTTCTAAAACCCTGGTACCCGAACCACGAGACAATGGATAGTTAATTGCACAATTTTGGTAAAAGATAAAAAATCCATTAACCTTTTGCAAAACAGTTCATCTACTCTGCACTGGTCTGAAAGAAACTTGGTGCTTTGACTAAGGTCATGACACATTTTGAGATTATAAGCAATATTAGTTTGAAGTATACAGATATACCTAACTACATTTCTTCATTCCATTTTGAGTTTCCAATTATTTATACAGATATACCTAACTACATTTCTTCATTTCATTTTGAGTTTCCAATTATTTTTTCAGGTAAACATCATATTACCTTAAAATAAGTTCAAATCATGACACATTCTTGGGTCGTAAGAAATCTTTGAGTCAAATAATGGTCCATTTTACAAGATATGGTAACACTTATTTTATTTTTAAAAAATTTATTTCTGAAAGTGATCTTGAACTTGACCAATTGGCCATACATTTAGATCAATACATTCCTGATAGAATGCTCTGTGTAAAATATAAACTTCAAATGTCTCTCTCTTTAATATTTTTTTCATTCATTGATCTTTTATATGGTCAAAATCAGTATGATTCCTCAGCTTGTAAACAATAAATGTGCAAGTGTTTTTTCCTACAAAGTTATTGGCTGGACATGTATACCAACAGACAGGCAGACAATGTAAGTCCTAAAAATCGATTTTTCGATTGTTTTACAGGGAGTATAAAGATTAATAACTGTTACCTTTTCCCAGAATCCCTGTGTCTTTTGTACATTTATCACATGTTTCTCCCGAAGTTGACACTTGCACTGAATTTCTTTTGCCTTGATTTTGGACAGCTCACTTGAAAGTGTAAAAGAAAGATCATTCTCATTACAAATAATGTTTTGACATTTGAATCCTCTGAGGAATATCTTTGTGCCAATAAATGTTTCTGTCAATTTCCCTATTCCTTTATCAATGGAGTTTCCAATTTCATATGATACTTCTTTGTCTATGGTCAATGATTTGATTCTCAGCACTTGCAACTGAATATCATCATTACATATGCCAACAACAACAGTGTGTTCATTGTGATCAAACACTGCCGCCGTTTGATAAAGACATGGACTTCCTTCATTATCTTCATCTTTTGCAACACTCCATCTTAGAGAACTTATGCAGTATGCTACTAGTCTGTAGAACACAAACATAGCAAAGGAACTGAATCGATAGCACAAAATGGATGAACATTCCCATGTATCTTCACTGAAGTCAGCTTTAAACTGCTTTTTGTTCATACACGGGACATACCATGACATGCTACCTACTGATACAGCCTCAAATGCATTCAAATGTACCAGCATTTGGAGTTTCTCCATGTATAGCATAATTTCATTTTTATGTTTCAAGTAAGAGGGTTCATCTTTCCACAAAGCATCTATAACTGTTTCTTTAAGTTCCCCTGTTTTGTTGAAGGATTTCCACTCTTTGATTAATTTTGTTTGACAATCTTTATTGATGTGGTTTTCATCAGCAATTATTTTACTGAAAGCATTAGCAAACCACTGAATATCTAGTATAACATGTTCCCTCAATTCCACTTCTTCAAAATTCAAAAGAAGGCCACTGTCATGGAAACATTTTAAAAAGTTAGACATTTCTTCCTCACTTTTGATTTGGTATTCCCGAGGAAGAGATGAGTTGAGCTTCCAGATTTCACTCAGGGTCAAAACCTTCCAGCCTCCTTCATATAATAACTGCTCCATTAAAGCCCACGAAGAAGGCAATTCAACTTTTGTATTGTTTTCATCTGTAAATAGTTCTACTATGGACTTTTTCATTGACTCCAGGTTTTCCTTGGTATTATCATTAAGTTTCTTTAAACCGACTGCATACTCCCGATCATTCAGAGAATCACTTAACCAATCTCTGTCCTCGTCTGGAACAGCATTCCAGAACTCCCTAAGATACTTTTTTATTTCCTAAAGATAAAAACAAAGCAAACATGAAAATATTTTAAGAACAGAATTGTGCGCTAAAATCATAATATAATGCTATATTATGGGTGATCTTTGAAAAATCTGGAGTTACAGGAATCCCAGTAGTAAAATTGGTACAAAATCTAATTGATTACAGATAAAACTGTAGATTTGGTATCCCTTATAGTATATTTTGTCACTTTGGATGTAAAGCAGTCAATAGATAGCTTCTGTGAATGAAAAGATTTTTATATAACTTTCGTATGATATGTGTATAGAATGTGTTCTGATACAGAACACTTTAAGGGAGTATGGAACTGACGATTTTGAATCCACCGCGCAACTCCAAGTGACGTAAATGAATTTTACATTTTTGTTATGTCGTTAAAATCTTTCGATGATTTTTATCAAATTTCACCGAGCAACTTATTGTATAGATATACTTGATATAAAATGATATAAATTGTGATTAAAATATCATCAAAATCGAACCAAAAAACAACTCAGTGAAATTTTACGACTTATCTCGCTTACCGCCGTTTTCGGCATTGTAAACAAAGCGGATGTTTCGGAAAGCATGAAATGCGGAGAAATCTTGGGTTTTCGTCTATCAAATCTATTTAGCGGTACAACAAGGCTTCCTTGACTGAAAGAAGGCGATACTGAGGTGTGTCATACTGAAATTACTCTGCCAACAATCACTCGAATGAAGGAATCACAATCACATCACCATGATCACCCCACCCCACCATGCCCACGACAACTCTCGTCTGATCTGCCCAGGTTTGTCTCTAAATTCAACATATTATTTTCTTCCGTAATCATGGCAATTCTTTGCAATATAAGTATTTAAACAGGGGTAAAGGGACAAGGGCACTATAACTATTAATCCGAGATTCCTCTGACTCGAACTCCTGCTTTTACATTTTAACCTGTCACAATGTAAAAGCAGGGTTTAGAGTCAGATCAGAGGAATCTTGGATTATATAACTTTATTACACACTTAGTAATAAATACAGGTTTTTTGCATATGCGATATGGCTGACGTCACAATAGCCGTATCAACCCTGCAGGGCTGATATGGATTTGCGGGGCTGATATCCGTATCAGCCCTGCAAATTCATATCAGCCCTGCAGGGCTTATACGGCTATTGTGACGTCAATATCACACCCTTAGTAAATTAAACCACAATAACAGTACTTGTGATCATACACAATTTTTCGTGGGTTCATATTCTCTTAATTTTAACTTTTTGAAAATAAGAATAATCTTAATTTACAAATACATGTAATACTATAGAATATTTTCAAATTACGGATCAAGTGCATTGAAATAGAAGTAGAAACAAACCCAAATCATATGAGACATTAGAATATGTACATGTATGTAAGAAGTCCATGCATGATTATTTACTTATTTTCTTCTCAACTTAATGTCTTCTGTATTTTATTACTAAGTATGTAATAAATATAATAAAACATACCCTTTTCCACATCACATCCTGTATCAGCCCTCGACCAATATCAGCCCTCGGGCCTTCGGCCCTTTGGCTGATATTGGTGTCTCGGGCTGATACAGGGTGTGATATGGAAAAGGGTATGTATTATTCTCTATATAATCACACGCTAAATACCACAGTGGTGTATATATGTGTATCACTGTCAGTTGATCTTCACATGACATAATCCAGTTGTACTCTGTCATGCATGTGTACATAGATATCATATCATTTGAGACACTAGCTGTTATACATGTTACCCAAACAATTACCCTGAGATGCAACATCATGCAAGGTGTTGAGCACTCTATAGAATTTTTCCCATCTACATACAATTCAATATTTCACTGACTAGTCTACACTACAACAAAAGTAATGCACATAGATAAGATAAGATAAGATTTGTTAATACCAATTTGGGGCCCATCAGGGCATACATTGCACATATACAATACTCATAAAATTCTTCTGCTTAACAGTGGTATTCATTAATTATTGCATTAATGTTTGTGCCTAAGCCGCTACAATGTGAAGCTCAGGTCAGGATCCCCCCTGTAATTTGCAAGGTTATTAAATTCATATACTATAGCAAGATAAAAGTTACCTTGGACCCCCCTTGGAGAAACTTAGACCCCCCTGTTAAACGCAAATAATTTGTGTTAAATCGGTAGGAATAATCAAAGGTTTGAAGCATTAGAAGTCATCGACTATAATAAAATATTAATGCAGATTAAAGAATATTCCATTAAAAAAAATTTCATACATACATGTAAGAATAAACATGACAAATCCGTAAATGCTCCTCAGATGTACAACATGTAATTTTTTTGAATAGGTATTCCTGTTTTTGTGGAATTTTTTGCATGAAGTCGAGATAAAAGAGAATATAGAATATTTTATATCTGCTAAATGAAGACTTGAGAAGAGGTACATGTATTGGGATGGAGCTGACAGATGCTCTAAAGGCCAATCTATAATAGGGTGTACCACTGAAGCCCTCTCACACAGTGTCCTAGCTTACGGATCATCCGCTTACATTAAGGTACAGTGTTATGTTTTTAAAACTGTATATTTTATACTTGTCAATATCTTAGTATGTACATGTTGTTATTAATTAAGTGAAAAAAAAGTTTCTGTTTGCCCAACCAACTCCAGTTTATAGCCAATCCTTTTTTCTATCTTAATTTTAAGATATCTGTAGCATACAGAGAAAGACGTAAGAAAATTGTGAGTATATAGCAAAGATATGACAAACTGCAATAATTGACTGCACAATATAAGTGCCGGAAAAACAAAGGTTGTATCTACCGTTTCGTTGTTTCGTATATGTCAAGTTCACGCTACTCTTATTTTTAGCTCAAACTTGTAAACAAAATTCAACTGGAGCATGCAAAGGTGAGAAATATGTTCTAACAACTTTTTAAAAAGCTTACATCAAATTTTTTGGTCTACTTATATTCATTCGTGGATACCTGAGACCATGGCAACTATGGAAACTTATTCAACACTTTCTGCGCACGCGTATAATAGGAAGGAAGAAGTACCAGGGTATTTTGCAATATTTTCGTTCTGGGGCAGACAGAAATTATTTTTACTTATATTTTTCCCCTTTTAGGTTCTGAAACCTGTAATTTTCTGAAACCTAATACTTTAAGGAATTGAACAAAATTTACAGAGGTCATGCGAAAATTCTACATTTGTCAATTTTCCCCTTTGTGCGTCACTGTGCCGCTTTAAAAAATATGAATATTCATTTTTTTCACAATATTACCAAGCATATCAATTTCCATATTTAAAAACACTAATTTGACATCAGTTTTTTATTTCTTACAGTGTGCCAGAACATCATATCAGCAATGAGCGGGTAGACCATTTGAACCAGTATTTTGTTCCATAAAGAACAATCATTTAACAGGCAGACAAAACTACAGGTTTGAAAATAAATGGAAGAAAATCACTGGACTCAATATAATTTCCTATCCCAGTATTCTGAAACTGTGGCATTGTCAACAAACTCTGTGTGGAATTATTGATAAAAGATTTGAATGAAAAACTATTTCTGCATTATTCTAAATGAATTATGGATTTTATTTCAGAATTAAGACTTTTTCAGTTGAAGTTTGATAAGAAAAAAAGACATTCATCCTCAGTCTATTTGAAATGTCAATGGCATCAATTATGTCTTTTGAATGTTGAAGTTTTCCACATATTTTTACAATTTAAAGAATTATAAAAAAAAAAAAAAAAAAAATAGAAAATGAAATGAATTTGAAATAAATAGTTTGAAAAACTTGTCAAATCATATTTTTCTGTTTCAGCATTGAAAGAATAGGTGAATTCACACTTTTCAAAAGTTATGTCCATTGGCCGCCATTTGAGGAAAAATCCAAAGAGTCCTTACAGTACCCTTAATTAATAGTTTTCTGGTTTGTAAATTTGTCATCTGAATGCAAGAATTATGTGCATCTTCTATAATGATTGCCCAAGAATGGGCCAACTCATATATCAAAAAAAAAAAATTAAAACACAGTTGATTTATCTGAGCATGCCCAAAATAGTTTGTAGCATAAAGAGGAGAAATGTCATTTCTTTCCTATTTGATTGACCTATCAAAGGGACACAACTTTTGCAAAGTGTGGATTGGATTATAGTCTATATATTCTCTATTTAGAAAAACAGTCAACAAAATACATTTAGATTTAAACTCCTTAAAACATATTGATAGTCATTCCCCAACATTTTATTGATTTGAATCCATTTATAGTGATACATGTATAATGAAACAGCCACAACTTGCAAAAAACATCATGTCCATGTTGCATACATGCCAACTTTCCCGATTTAGGTGGGATTCTCCCGATTTTACCCTTTCATCCCGCCTTCCCGATCGTGAGAGAAAAATTGCCCCAATTTCCCGATTTGAAAAAATTAAGATTTTCAGTTTCCCTACCGCCGAATTTTGTCAATTGGGATAAGAATATCTGAGTTGTTTACTCAATGCACACAGATAAGTCTGTTTATTTAGCATGCAGAGTTGACAACTATTAAGCAAAGATATTTAAATTTGGAAAAAGTAAAACTTTAATGTGTATTGAATTATTTGTGTTATCAATATTATAATTAAAACAAAAAGTATTTCATAATCATTTATTTTCACGACAAAATATCGTGAATTTAAAGCTTTGAAAATTGTCGTCACGCACAAAATCCCCCATGGGAATCTTCAAAAGTTGGCATGTATGCCATGTTTTGTTGTCTCTGCTCTTATTTGTATTGTTGTATCGACTTCGAGACTGAATACTGTTCGTTATCTCCATATCCTTCATGTCACAATATTAAAAAAAAAACAATTAAGGGAAGATCTGCTAGCATTACTGTACCAGTAGGTCAAATTTATAGATCTAAATATTTATTTAAAACAAAATACTATATTCTATCGATTTGTTTTGCATATTACTTAGCAATTTACCAGGTACCGACTGTTTTCGGGTGACATTT